AGTAGTGCTAAGACGGCAAAAGCACCTGAAAATGATATCGAACTTGTTAGAGTCACTGTAAAGGAATTTGTGCAATTGGAAGAGGTAAATGTTTGGAAAATAAACTTTTTTCAGAGAGTTGATGTTCATAAGTTATCTGTGAACAGTGAGATCAATACTGTCTTTAGCCTTACCAGAGAAATATGTTACTTATTACAGAAACTGGATTAATTTGGGAAAAGAAAAGTAATTAACTTACAAAAATAATAACGAAATCAAAGGGGAAAAGTAGACAACATTATTTTTCAAAAGTTAATAAGGCCTACGATTTTAAAGAAAAATCTCATATCAAGACAAAAAACAATTAGATTATTTAATAATTTATGTGATTGCACTTGACATTTGAAAGAAATAAACACATAAATAAATTTTAACTTTTTTTTTTTTTTTTTTTTTTTTTTTTTTTTTTTTTTTTTTTTTTACGTTTATTTATTTTTTTGGGACAGAGAGAGACAGAGCATGAACGGGGGAGGGGCAGAGAGAGAGGGAGACACAGAATCAGAAACAGGCTCCAGGCTCTGAGCCATCAGCCCAGAGCCCGACCCGGGGCTGGAACTCACGGACCGCGAGATCGTGACCTGGCTGAAGTCGGACGCTTAACCGACTGCGCCACCCAGGCGCCCCAATAAATTTTAACTTTTAAATTAATTAACCCTGATTGTTTACCAGACAATATATATTTTATTAATTAAATCAATAAAACTAATCTCACTGAACAGATATGTCACTTACAACAAATGAGTTCTGTGCCTAGTTAACTACAGAAATATTACATATATAGTAAAGCTTTGGAATGTGGGTAACTTGCTTCTGAGTGTTCTGCAACATGAGTGAACATTTCTAATAAATTTTAATATGAAAATGGAGTCATGTCTTGCAACTCTTAGTACATGACGCCGAATATCACATGATCACAACTGAGCCAATGGTTCTTGAAATTCTCTTTGCTATATCAGTGCTTTGGATTACAAGCATGTTTCCTGACTGAATTATGCTCACAAACCAAGGTTTTATGGTCTAACAATTTCAGATGTATTACAATGGAAAATAATCTTTAATGTAATAGTTAAAGTGAGAGAGGAAGAGCAATATACTTGACACTTTATGTGTTGTTACATAAAAGGCAAATGAATGGGGAACACATTGAAAATTGTTTATGGGGCTCCCTTGTCAAACCAGGGCTCACATTGGCATATCACTTTGCTAATGACAACTGTATTCAAAAATCACTCCAGAATACATTTTTTAATCTTTAAAAAAGTTTATTTATTTATTTTGAGAGAGAGACAGACAGAGTGGGGAGAGGCAAAGAGAGAGGGAGAGGCAGAAACCCAAGCAGGCTCCCCACTTTCAGCAGGGCTTGAACTCATGAAAACTGACTGAGCCACCCAGGCCCCCCCTCCAAAATGTTTTTAAATCTCAACAACTAACGTACTCCTTTTCATAATGGTTTTAGAAATAAACTATACTACCCCTTCTATCATTTGTAAACAGTTTTCTATTACATAATTTATTTAGAAAGTAGGAAGGCTATATTTAAACTTTTAAATATACACATTACATTATTCTGATGGTCAAAAAATTTTAATACTTTCCTTGTCTCACATGTAGTTGTCTTGTAGTATTGTTGACTGACTGAATGTCTGACATGAGAAATAAATGGATCAGCTTCCTTTCTTGATAAAAACCCTCAAGAAAGTGGGGATAGAGAGATCATATCTCAAGATCATAAAAGCCATATACGAACGACCCAATGCTAATATCATCCTTAATGGGGGAAAACTGAGAGCTTTCCCCCTAAGGTCAGGAACAAGACAGGGATGTCCACTCTCGCCACTGTTATTCAACATAGTATTGGAAGGCTTAGCCTCTGCAGACACCACAAAGGAAAAAAAAGGCACCCAAATCAGCCAGGAGGAGGTCAAACTTTCACTCTTCACAGATGACATTATACTCTATATGGAAAAGCCTAAGGATTCCACCAAAAAACTGCTAGAACTGATTCATAAAATCAGCAAAGTTGCAGGATATAAAATCAACGCACAAAAAATGGTTGTATTCCTATACACCAACAATGAAGTGACAGAAAGAGAAATCAAGGAATTGCTCCCATTGACAGTTGCACACACACACACACAAAAACCCATAAAATACCTAGGAATAAATCTAACCAAAGAGGTGAAAAATTTATACACTGAAAACTATAGAAAGCTTATGAAAGAAAATGAAGAAGACACAAAAAAATGGAAAAATATTCCATGCTCCTGGAGAGGAAGAACAAATATTGTTAAAATGTCAATACTACCCAAAGCAATCTACATATTCAATGCAATCCCTATCAAATAACACCAGCATTCTTCACAGAACTATAACAAATAATCCTAAAATTTGTATGGAACCAGAAAAGACCCTGAATAGCCAAAGTGATCTTGAAAAAGAAAACCAAAGCAGGCGGCATCACCCAGACTTCAAGCTATACTACAAAGCTGTAATCATCAAGACAGTATGGTACTGGCACAAGAACAGACACTCAGATCAATGGAACAGAATAGAGACCCAGAAATGGACCCACAAACGTATGGCCAACTAATCTTTGACAGAGCAGGAAAGAATATCCAATGGAATAAAGATAGTCTCTTCGGCAAGGGGTGCTGGGGAAACTGGACAGCGCCATGCAGAAGAATGAACCTGGACCACCTTCTTACACCATACACAAAAGTAAACTCAACATGGATGAAAGACAGGAAGCCATCAAAATCCTCAAGGAGAAAGCAGACAAAAACCTCTTTAGTCTTGGCCGCAGCAACTTCTTACTCAACACGTCTCCAGAGGCAAAGGAAACAAAAACAAAAATGAACTACTGGGACCTCATCCAAATAAAATGCTTCTGCACAGTGAAGGAAACAATCAGCAAAACTAAAAGGCAACCGACAGAATGGGAAAAGATATTTGCAAACGACATATCAGATAAAGGGTTAGTATCCAAAATCTGTAAAGAACTTATCAAACTCAACCCCCAAAAAACAAAACACCCAGTGAAGAAATGGGCAAAAGACATGAATAGACAATTCTCCAAAGAAGACATCCAGATGGCCAACCATAACATGAAAAAATGCTCAACTTCATTCATCATCAAGGAAATACAAATCGAAACCACTATGAGATACCACCTTTAACCCCTTCAGAATGGCAAACATTAGTCAGAATGGCTAACATTAGTCAGAATGGCTAACATTAGTCAGAATGGCTAACATTAACAACTCAGGCAACAACAGATCTTGGCGAGGATGTGGGGAAAGAAGATCTCTTTTGCATAGTTGATGGGAATGCAAGCTGGTGCAGCCACTCGGGAAAACAGTATAGAGGTTCCTCAAAAAACTAAAAATAGAACTACCCTATGACCTAAATACTAGGTATCTATCCAAGGGGTACAGGTGTGCTGTTTTGAAGGGACACATGCACCCCCATGTTTATAGCAGCACTATCAACAGTAGCCAAAGTATGGAAAGAACCCAAATGTCCATCGATGGATGAATAGATAAAGGAGATGTGGTATATA